ACCGTGATGTAATCACGACAACTGTTGTCACTGTCAGCTGGCACAGCTGCTGCTGAAGATGATGAGGAGTCGGGTGCTCCTAAAGGATCTTTATTCACCGGTGGAGCTATCGTCGTCGGCGTCGAAGAGCTCACTCCAGATGCACCGCCACTCGCACCAACTCTTTCGTCGTGAAATGTCCAGACTGTGTAGCCCTCGACAAAACCATACATGATCAAATGAGTTTGCACATCGCTGTCTCGGTGGGCTTTCAGGTTCTTGCAACGAGAACATGGACATATGGTTGTCATCCGCTTCAGTCTCTCACGGTGAGCTTTACCAGCAGCAATAAACTTCCTTAATTCAAAGATGTACCACGGATTATTCACTCTATCGATCCAGTACATCCATTCCGACCTATCCATCATACCTACGAACATTATCCGTCACAATCAACATTAAATAAAGAAGAATTAGGAGAAATTGATGATTTTTACGTCCAAAATCATGAAAAAGAAAGGAAATGCCAACAACTAGACACTGGTTTGGCGCAAATCACCATTAGCAACTTCTGGATATGTATTCTAGGACACGTCTACTTGATGTCCGGTATTAATGAACTAGATTAGACACGTCCACTTGTTTGGTTTGAAATTTTTGTTGACCAAATCAAACTGAAGCCGTGATAAAATGTGGCCTAAAAATGATATTTGGTTTTTGACGGAGCCAAAATATGGCTTGTGCCAAAATCTAGCGTAGCAAAAAAATGTTTAGATGATAACCAAGCTAAATTCTTGGTTTTTTCCTTCAAGTAAATATGGTTATGTGGAATCTTGTTTTGTAGATAAATTCTTAATAAATATTATAGTAAAAAGAAATTACAAATTGGACAAATGATTAAATAGATATTAGCATTTGAAGTTTGATTATCAACTCAGTACATGCAAAAGCAAAATGTAGCAATAAGAAAGAGCCTCCATACATGCAGTAGTGCCAGTGGACAGTGGTCCACACATGCCCAGAAAAGGCGAACCCCAAATGCCAGGCTTGAGGGTGCGTCTAGGAGCGAATCGCTCTCGCCTGCTAAACGGTATTTTTAGAGTGAGATTCTCAGCTAATTGTGGGAAGCGATTCACTGAAATAAACTAAGAGGCTAAGAGTTAAAAAAAAGTAGCTTCTTCTGATTCTGTGAAGTGATTCTAAGAGTTTATGCTAAAGAATAAAAAAATCATTTTTAACCTTATTATCACTTCACCGGAGAATGAGGAGCACAGCTCTACGAAACGAACCCTCAAGCGTCGACGACCCAAGGACGTAAAAATCAGTGGAATATCCAGAAGACCCGTGGAGAAGATGAAGGGGTGGCGCTGTGTATTTGTACATGCTTTACCGCGGCGGGCAAGATAAAGCGCCCGCCTCGGTAAATCAACTCTTTACCGCGGCGGGCAGTTTAAAGGGCCCATTACGGTAAATCGTATTAACCGTGGCGGGCCATTCATACCGCCCGCCGCGGTAAATAACGATTTCCTACGGCGGGCAAGTAAGGTGGCCCGCCACGGTAAACCCTTTTCCCGCAGCGGGTGCCTTGGTGGCCGGCCTCGGTGGCCGGCCACCGGTTAACCGTGGCGGGCAAAAGAGGTGCCCGCCACGAAGCCCATTTTGGCCACGCTGCGCAAATTGATTCCTGTAGTAGTGTCCTACACTAGGAATACGCTAAAACATGTTTCCATCACCAGTAAATAAATACTCCATGCTCTAAAATATGATCTCCCTAACATATTTCTAGAAAGAGACAAAAAAAGACTATGCAAAAAGAATTGAGAAAAAATGGGGCACATGAAGGTCCCAAAGTGTTAAAAAATGGGACACATGAAGGTCCTAAGATATTTAAAAAAAATGATGAGCACATGAAGGCTAATAAGAAAAATAAGCTAGCCATGTCTCAAAAATAAAGGCTAGAGATCATATCAAACAAAGGAGTATACTTCCACCAAATTCCACACACTTGTACAGTTTTGATCTAAGAGTATGACACTTCTCTCTGGTGAGGTCCAGAATTTGACTTTACAACATATGCAAGGTAAGTGTGTCTCAATATTTTCATCCCTACCCAAAATTCAAGATAAGCTTTTTAGAAGTAGGATGATCAAAGAGAAGGCAAACTCTCAACATATGCCTTGGTGAGGAACCACTTACAAATTTGAGCGACTTAAGAGAATCATTCAAGGAACAAAATCTATCTTTATGTTTTAAAAATCATACAAAAACCCAAGTCTCTGAGCATGAATAGAGTGAGAAGACTTAAATCCAAGCTATTCTGTTTTTCAATCACCTAAGATATTTTGGTAGACACTTGGAAGTTCAAAGGTTCAGGTGAAGCTTGGAATAACCTGTATGTAGATTTTCAAATCAAGGACATGAGCCCGCTTAGTCCTTAGAACTTTACTCGAGGACGAGCAAAGGACTAAGTGTGGGGGATCTTGTTGGCGGTACTTAACTCATATTTCTACCGCCAACATTTAAACAAAACAAAACAAATATGAATACCAAAACTTAGAATTAGGGCTTACAACTCACATTTTCCATGAGTTTTGCTGTATACATGTTTTGCAGGCACAAGTATGAAAATACACCAAAATGCGCAATCAAGAAGGCACATTCAAGCAAAACATATGCAAAAGCCCATTCATACTCCACACCAGGGCAGAACACCAGCACGACAGAGGCCCAAGCCCAGCTAGGAGCCCACGCGCCGAAGGCCACCTTTCTCCGGCGGTGCATTCAATACACGTGGAGGCGGTTGCAAGCGGTGCTTTCCTAAAATACCAAGCAAACTGACCTCCTCAAGCCTATATAAGAAGACCCCCTTCACATTCAAGAAGATTTAACACATACCAAGAGAAGAGAAGAAGAGAAGAGCTACACTTCTATTTTAGTTTTAGCTAAATTTAGTATAGGGAGTGAGTGAGGGAAAGAGTCGAAGGAATAGCGAAAGAATCGGCTACCTCTACTTCTTGTAGTAGGTGACTTATACACGTAGTAGAAGGAGTGCCGGGACTGTCGGCTCCCTCCACGTTTCTACCTCTACGAACCACGTACTACTTGGAGTATAAGGTTCATGTTTATCTTTGATGTTGAGTTCTTAACAAAAGTTATCTTTGATCACTATTTTCTTGTGGGTTCATCGTCCCTCCTCGTGACGGATACACTAGTAGAAGGGCCCTGATAAAGACGGATAACCCTTGCATGCGCGCTAGAGTAGTAGTCAATATCAAAGGTGTGGTGTCTAGGCTTGAGGCTACCTTTGTTTGCCTCATATCCTCCGGTTGAGGGGTAGGCGGCAGGTGGTGACAGCTCTATCTGTCCCCTGTCATCCCCCACATCCGGATACGGTGTAGAGCTGTAGGTTGGCAACGCTTGGTAGACCAAGTGTTCTCCGATGCCCAAAGCAAGTCTGTAGCGGCAAAGCTATCTTAACTTAGGATCTCTACCCTTAGAAAAACCTCACTACCCGAGCTATCCTTCTTCTTGTTATCTTGGGTGAACTAGCTAAGAGACTTTACACATCCGTTGCTTTGGGAAAATACGATACCCTAAATACTTTCGGGTGAAGTGCTATGACGATATATCAGTGCGCTTGCAGATTCTTTGGCTCCGCTAAGAAATACCAACAACAACCAATCTTGCTTTGTTCCTTGTCACCACACCATATTCATCTTACTTGTTGGGGAAGACCCACTTGGTTCCAATGACATTGCTCTTGGGTCCTTTCATCAATTCCCACACTTGATTTCTCCCAAACTTGTTCAACTCTTCTTACATAGCCATCACCCAATTAGGATCCCCGAGAGTTTGTTCTATCTTAAGAGGTTCAAATGAGGAAACAAACGAGTAATATTCACAAAAGATTGTTAGTCGAGATCGAGTTGTTACACCCTTTTGTATGCTCCCAATGATATTGTCAATGGGATGGTCCTATTGTATACTTTGATGAACTCTTTGGTGAGATTCTCTTGTAGGTGGTTCAAGTGGTGGTTGGTTAGCAACATCTTCATCAACTTGAGGCTCTTGATCTTGAGTATGATCACCCTCTTGCTGATTCTGGCCCCAGATCTTGGAGTCTTTGTGTCTGGACGTGGAGCCTTCTGACTTTGTGTATCTAGAGGCTTGAGGCTTGAGTTGACTCTTGGAGGCACTTCTTGATTTGGTGCTTCAACTGGTCTAACATCACCTATGGCCAATTGCTCGATTGTTTCATAAGGTGGCTCTTCATTTTATACAACATTTGAATCAACTTGCTCTACTTAAGAGCCATTAGATTAATCAAACGTCACATCTATCGTGATTTCCACCCTTTCGGAAGAGTGGTTGAAAATTTGATAGGCGTGCTCGTTTGGACCATTACCAAGAAGAAAACCATCATCAATTTTATGTGCAAACTTAGAAGAACAAGGCTTCTTGTTAAGAATGAAACACTAGCACCTAAACACTTTAAAGTATGACACATTGGGTTTGTTACTGGTTAGGAACTCATGTGAAGTCTTTTTTACATGCCACATATAAGGGAACAAATTACATCTTGTAGGAGCAAGGTAAGTTTTCATTTGGTATCATGCATATTGCAATTAGTATAATATATGATTTTGCTCTTACATTGCATCCAAGCATGTAGATAAGTTTTTAATTTGATATCTATTATTATTCACATGCTTTGGTTGTATTTTCATCGATCACAAAAAGGAGATATTGTAAGGAATAGGGATTGAACTTGTAGAAAGTTTTATTTTATGAATATGAACAAATAAAATAAATGTAAATCTTCTTTTAACGAACCGGAGCACATCCGCGCCGTACATCAACTGGACTCGCACGTCTCTGCTCTGTGCTCTCCCCGCAGCCAGAAAACCCTAGACTCCCCGGCCGCCGCTCTTCTTTCCCTCGCTCCACAGCTCGCGCCGTTCCTCCAAGCGCGCACACATCCTCCCGCCTGCGCGCCGCCGCCCGCCGATCTACGAGCAGCCATGGCTAACCGTAAGGGACTTCCGAAGCCTTTCCTTTGCCTCGCTCTCGTCATCTTGTACGGTTAGCGTCCCATCTCGCGCTCTAACCTTGGGTTTGGTTGGCTGGCTTGCAGCAGCGGCACCGGGAGGAATGAGGTCGTTCCTGCAGGCCGTGTCTACGGTCACCGAGGAGGCGCCGACGCCGCTCCGCGTCGTCCAGATGGAGGGCCTGGTAATTGCTTCTGAAACACACAGCATCTACTGTTTGCGCTTGCGATTTGGCATTTGACGTGCAGAGATTTGAGAAACTTGGGCGTGCTCAGGGGATGGATCTGTTTGCGTAGCGTCAGCTGTTGTGGGGATCGGAATCAGGGGAAAGTAACCCTTTCCTTTTAGGGGATAAATTTAGTGTTACAATTTGCCACGAATGTTATTCTCAACATGGTATACACGTTTTGTTGGTCGATTACTAGACTACCATGTTACATTCGACTATGATTTTTTTGTTTGATGTAGGCAAAGCAATTTAACTATAGTAGTTTCTAAAACCTCATTCCAAGCATGGTAGGGAAAAAGGTGAAATGCTTGTCTGGTTTGCTGTCCACCAGAATTATACTGCAGTTGTTGAACCTTACTTCACAATGATAGTGCCATTTGTATTGCATACGCTTTCACACACTTTCACTTCATAGCAATACCATTTAGCACAACTGATGTAGTACAGCTGAGCCTACCTACAAATTTTATTCATCTTTATGCACATTGGGCGTGTTTGCTTCAACGCCGAAGAATCTGCCTGGCCAAGGCAAGCGTTCCTAGGTGTCCGATTTTGGACACCTGGGGTCGGATGCACTGCCTGTCCAACGCTGCCTGGGTCAGGGTGCTATCCAAACACACCCATTATGTCTTTCTCAAAATCCGCCTGCTTAGACAGTACTATTTGCACATAAAAAATAAAAAATATCTTAAACTGGTGCAACGCCATATTGGATATGTATATGCCTATGTGTGTTGATAAATCACATTGATCTAATGAGCAGCATTATCTTGGTGCCTAGAATCATGGTTCGAAAGGTGTTTTCAAGATTACTTGTACTGATAAACCAAAAATATTGATCAAGTTAAAAATAAGTGTATTCACACCAAACTAATGTTTCACCTAATTTATATTAGTTACATCAGTTATTTTACGACAAGCATTTTTCTTTTTCCCAGATAGAATTTTCTGCCTCAGTGGATTAGAAAATTTTCCCATAACGACATGCATTTTTGTTTGTAATCTTAATTCCACAAGCATTGTGTTATTTGTACTCACAATAATGCTATTTTACGCAGGCCGTACTGAAGATCATTAAGCACTGTGAGGAGTTTGCGCCTGCTCTAGTTACAGGTCAATTGCTTGGTTTGGATGTTGGTAGTGTTCTGGAAGTGACCAACTGTTTTCCCTTCCCTGTGAGTCCTCACTCCTTAACATTCTTAGCAGCTCAGTACTGAATATGTATTCTTCTGCTATGAAGGTCTTCCAGGGTAGTTGTTCTTTTAAATTTTATAGGCTAATGGCTACCTTACTATTTTTACTGCAGATCAGAGAAGAGGATGATGAAGCAGATGCAGATGGTGCCAATTATCAGCTTGAGATGATGAGGTGTTTGAGGGAAGTTAACGTTGACAATAATACTATTGGATGGTAAGCTAAGCTAATTTCATTTTTATCTAATATCTAATACCATATCAATATTCAATTGATTTAGAAATAGTCAGTGTTGGCTTGAGTTGTCTGACATGCACATTGACAAAAACTGCATGTACTTGACTACTTGTGGATTATATATTCCATGATCTTGCACAAGTAAATAGTACCTCTTGAGTATGTATGACTCTGATATGTTTTGCAATTGACCTTAGCTTTCTTGGCCATAAGTGTCTTTTCATAATCACTTTAATTTTACTAATTTTTGGTTACATTATATTTTTATTATGCAGCGGAACAATATAGGCATGCATGAAGTAGTTTTAAATGAAATTGCGAGATGCATTTTCTGTTCTGAGAACTGGTGGATAATGTCTTTGATATTCTATCCTGCTGAAACTAACAATATTGAAAATTCACGTGCTAAAAATGACTTCACAGATTTATTATTATCCTACCTAAATCAAGGACTGTTGACCACAATTGTTGGAACCTTGTATTTGGTCATATTTTGGAAGCACAAATTAGTGGAAGATTGCAAGATTTGATTGAGGGTGTGTGTGTGTGGGTGGGTGGGTAACCAGGCTGCTGCCACTGTAAATTTTGCTGATCAGTATTGATTGGTTTGCTTTATCGATGATCTTACAATCGGCGTTGTTGGCCTTGTATTAGCTTTACATGCACTACTTTCACTCTTTGACATATGAGCACATAATACTTGCTCGTGCCGTGTGACAAATATGAACTCTTTAACTACCACAAGTGATCAAAAGCGCGACGATGTTACTGCTTGTCCAACATTTTATGAGCTTAACATTTTGTTTCATATTACTATACTGGGGTGGCTTCTAGTGCCCAATTATTTCCCTCTGTAGTAATCCAAGTTTATCTTACTATTTTAACTTATTTGCATTGCATTTCTTTTGGTCTACGCTTTCAGGTATCAGTCTTGCTTGCTTGGATCTTTTCAAACTGTGGAACTGATTGAAACATTTATGAACTATCAGGTACGGGGCAGATAGATAAGCTATGTTTCTTATCCAGCCTTTTCGCTGATATCGGATACTTTCCCAGCCTAAAAAAAATTCTATTTCACCCCTTTCCATTTTACATTTTCCCCGACTATGTTATTATCATGACCGCATTTGTGGTTTAATCTGCTACCGAATTATAAAAATAGCAGCAGCAACAACAACAACAACAAAGCCTTTAAATCCCAAACAAGTTGAGGTAGGCTAGAGTTGAAACCCAGCAGAAGCAATCAAGGTTCAGGCACGTGAATAGCTGTTTTCCAAGCACTCCTATCTAAGGCTAAGTCTTTGGGTATATTCTATCATTTCAAGTCTCCATTTATTGCCTCTACCCAAGTCAACTTCGGTCTTCCTCTGCCTCTCTTCACGTTACTATCCTGGCTTAGGATTCCACTACGCACCGGTGCCTCTAGAGGTCTCCGTTGGACATGTCCAAATCATCTCAACCGGTGTTGGACAAGTTTTTCTTCAATTGGTGCTACCCCTAATCTATCACGTATATCATTGTTCTGAACTCGATCCCTTCTTGTATGACCGCAAATCCAATGCAACATACGCATTTCCGCGACACTTATCTGTTGAACATGTCGTCTTTTCGTAGGCCAACATTCTACACCATACAACATAGCAGGTCTAATCGCCGTCCTATAAAACTTGTCTTTTAGCTTATGTGGTACCCTTTTGTCACATAGGACACCAGATGCTTAGCGCCACTTCATCCATCCTGCTTTGATTCTATAGCTAACATCTTCATCAATATCTCCGTCTCTCTGTAGCATTGATCCTAAATATCGAAAGGTATCCTTCCTAGGCATTACTTGATATTCCAAACTAATATCTTTCTCCTCTCGAGTAGTAGTGCCGAAGTCACATCTCATATACTCATTTTTAGTTTTACCGAGTCTAAAACCTTTGGACTCTAAAGTCTCCCGCCATAACTCCAGTTTTTGATTCATTCCTGTCCGGCTTTCATCAACTAGCACTACACACTACATCGTCCACGAAAAGCATGCACCAAGGGATGTCCCCTTGTATGTCCCTTGTGACCTCATTCATCACTAAGGCAAACAGATAAGGGCTCAAAGCTGACCCTTGATGTAGTCCTATCATAATCGGCAAGTCATCCGTGTCTCCATCACTTGTTCAAACACTAGTTACAACATTGTTGTACATGTCCTTAATGAGCCCGACGTACTTCGTTGAGACTTTATGTTTGTCCAAAGCCCACCACATAACATTCCTTGGTATTTTATCATAAGCCTTCAAGTCAATAAAAACCATGTGTAGGTCCTTCTCTCTATACTGCTCCATAACTTGTCTTATTAAGAAAATGGCTTCCATGGTTAACTTTTCGGGCATGAAACCAAATTGGTTCATAGAGACCCGTGTTATTGCTCTCAAGCGATGCTCGATAACTCTCTCCCATAGCTTCATATTATGGCTCATCAACTTAATTCTCCGGTAATTAGTACAACTTTGAATATCCCCTTTATTCTTGTAGATCGGTATCAATATATTTCTCCACTCGTCAGGCATTTTGTTCGATCGAAAAATATGGTTGAACAGCTTGGTTAGCCATACTATAGCTATGTCTCCGAGGCATCTCCACACCTCGATTGGGATACTATCCGGTCCTATCGCCTTACCTCCTTTCATTCTTTTCAACGCCTCTCTGACCTCAGATTTTTGGATCTCCGCAGAAAGCGCCTTGTCAAGGGCGTCGTGTTCTAGGGTAGTTGGCCCTCGACTACGGAGTTCGTAGTCTCTTGCCGTCGTCGTCTAGGGCTGAGGTTTTGCCCCTCGGCCGGCTAGGCTTAGTTGGAGGGAGAAGAGAGAGAGAGATTAGATGGATAATAACTTGCATAACTTCCACGGTTCAGGTTTACACGAGTAATATAGCCATGCGGCAGTAACAAGGCTAACAATAGACTCCTATAATTAAGGGATACGATCTGATCTTCTTGCCTTCTAGCCACTTTCTGGTTTGGAGTTTGCCTCGCTCGCGCCTGTCGCCTGGTCTCGCGCGCGCTATGCGGCTCTCCTCACGTCGCGGGCACGGCGTGTCCTTGAGTATGAGCGGCCCCACATGACATCTCTCCCCCCCTCAAGGATCAGCTCGTCCTCGAGCTGAAATGCCGGGTATTTGTCACGGAAGACGTCAAGATCCTCCCAGGTAGACGAAGCCGCAGACTGGCCCTTCCAGTGGACGAGCACCTGGCGAACGCCGCGCGCCAAGCGAGCCCGCACGACTCGATCAAGTTCTGGAACGATGGCGCCATGGTGGATGGCCGGTAGCTGCGGAGGCGCCTCTGGAGGCGGCCCAATGAACTTCTTGAGTAGCCCGACGTGGAAAACGTCGTGCAACTTAGCGCGTGGGGGAAGCACCAAGCGCACCGCGACGTCGTTGATCAGCTCGGTGATGCGGTAGGGCCCGAAGAAGCGCGCCTTGAGCTTCCCGGTGGTCACCTGGGGAATGGACGCCGCCGGCCGTTGGCGGATGCGGAGCAGGACCCAATCGCCGACCTGATAGGAGACAGGGCGGTGTAACCTGTCGTAGTGCCGCTTCTGGACTTGCTGCGCCTGCTCGAGCCAGTAGCGCACATCAGCGAGGAAGGCGTCGCGGTCTTCCATGGTCTGAGCAACTGCAGCCACGCGCGTGTCACCCGGCTCATAAGAGCGAATGGTAGGCAGGTCGCGGCCGTAAACCACGCGAAATGGCATCTCCCGGAGCGAAGACTGGTACGCCGTATTGTAGACATACTCGGCCCAAGGAAGCCAGCGGAGCCACTGACGTGGGCGGTCGCCGGTGAAGCAGCGCAGGTACATCACGATGACACGGTTGGCCGCCTCCGTCTGGCCACGGACTGGGGGTGGAACGCCGACGTCATGTTCAGCTTGGCCCCCATGAGGCGCATGAGCTCACGCCAGAACGTCGAAGTGAAGACCGGGTCGCGGTCGGACACCATCGACTGCGGCACACCATGTAGGCGAACGATGTCGGCGAAGAAAGCTTGCGCGACGGACTCGGCGGTGTACGGGTGCGCCAAGGGGATGAAGTGGCAGTACTTGCGGAAGCGGTCGACCACCGAGAGGATAACCGACTTGCCCTTGACGCGCGGTAGTGCTTCGATGAAGTCGAGGCCGATGTCCGTCCAGACCGCCGTCGGCACTGGGAGCGGCAGAAGGAGTCCAGCCGGCTGCAGGTGCTCGGACTTGTAGCGCTGACAGGTGGCACAAGTGCGAACAAAGTCCTGCACCAGGCGCCGCAGGTTGGGGAAGTGGAAGTCGCGGTGGAGTCGGTGCATGGTGCGCTGGACGCCTTCATGGCCATCATTGTGAGTGGCAGCCAAGATCTCCTGCAACAATGGCGATGCCGGTGGAATGTACAGGTGACCATCAAACATAACCATACAGTCGAGCACGGCCCACGGCGAGGCGCGGGTGTCCGCGCGAACCTCCTCCTGGATAGCGACGAGGGCGGGATCGGTGGCCTGCGCTTGACGTAGCCGGCTGATGAAGTCGAAGCGAGGTGTTGATAGGGCCAAGACCGCGCCCTCGGCGGTGTCGCGACGTGAGAGCGCGTCGGCCACCGTGTTCGTCGCTCCCGGCTTGTAATCAACAGTGAAGTCAAAGCCGAGCAACTTGCTGACCCAGTGGTGCTGTGGAATGGTCGCGAGCCGTTGGTCGAGGAGGTACTTGAGGCTGAAGTGGTCGGTGCGCACCAGGAAGCGACGTCCCCACAAGTACGAGCACGAATGCCGGACGGCGCTAACGAGGCCGATGAGCTCCCGCTCGTAGGCGGCCAGGGAGCGATGTCGTGGCGCCATGGGATGGCCGAAGTAGGCGATCGGGTGCTTGTGTTGGAGCAACACCGCACCGAACCCATGCATAGAAGCATCACACTCGACGACGAACGGCTTGGTGAAGTCGGGAAGCGCCAGCACAGGGGCCAACGTGACCGCCGCCTTGAGCGCGGTGAAGGCCGCTGCGGCGTCGTCGTTCCAGCTGAATCCCTCTTTCTTCAGGAGGGCAGTGAGAGGGGCAGCGATGGCGCCGTAGTCGAGGACGAATTTGCGGTAGTACCCCACCAGACCGAGGAAACCACGCACGGCGCGGGCCGAATGGGGCTGGGGCCAGTCGTGGATCGCCTGGACCTTGGCCGGATCCATGGCCATGCCTGCCTTGGAGATGACATGGCCGAGGTAGGAGACGGAGCCGACGCCGAAAGCACACTTTGAACGCTTGACGAAGAGGCGATGTTGGCGAAGCATGGCGAGGACGACGCGGAGATGCCGGAGATCCGCCCAGGATGCGCTGTAGATTAGAATGTCGTCAAAAAATACAAGCACAAACCGACGGAGGAAGGGTCGCAGCACATCGTTCATAAGCGCCTGGAATGTCGCCGGGGCATTGCATAGCCCGAACGGCATCACCAAAAACTCGTAAAGGCCGTCGTGGGTGCGGAACGCGGTCTTGGCGATGTCGTCCGGTGCCATGCGGACCTGATGATAGCCCGATCGCAAATCGAGCTTAGTAAAGAACTTTGCGCCATGGAGCTCATCCAGAAGCTCGTCGACGACGGGAATGGGAAACGCGTCTTTGACGGTGATGGCGTTCAAAGCGCGGTAGTCGACGCAGAATCTCCAAGACCCGTCGGCCTTCTTGACGAGGACTGGAGAAGAGAACGCGGACGAGCTTCGATGGATGAGCCCTTGGTCAATCATCACGGCACACTGGCGTTCCAATTCGTCTTTGTGTAGGGCCGGATAGCGGTACGGTCAGACCGCCACGGGCTGCGCCCTTGGCACCAAGGTGATGCTGTGGTCGTGGTTGCGCGGGGGAGGGGGTCCGTGAGGCTCGGCGAAGACATCGGAGAAGGTGTCCAGAAGTTCCTCCAACAGAGAGCTGCTGGCCGCTGTTGCGCTCAGGGCAGGGGCCGCCGGACCGGCGAGTGCGTGCCAGCACACTGCGCTGGCGTGGCGTCTGAAGGACATCGTGCGGGCGCTCAAATCCCACACAATCGGCCCCAAGGTAGCGAGCCACTGAGTGCCTAGCACCACATCGTAGCCCGCGAGCGGCATGACGAAGAGATCGACGTAGAACGTGTCGCCGTGGATGGCCAGCGGGGCGTGGCGGAGAACGCCCACGCACGCGACACGTTCGCCATTGGCCACCGTAGCCGTTAGGCGTGGGCGGTGTTGGATAGGCAGCCCAGAGCGGAGAGCGGCGTCCTCAGAGATGAAGTTGTGTGTGGAACCCGAGTCGAGGAGGGCGGTGAGAGTCGCGTCGCCCAGGGCGACCCGGATCTGCATTGTGTCGCTGAAGGCCACACCAGCGATGGCGTGCAGGGAGAATTGGGGCGTCTCCTCGGCCGTGGTGTCATCCCCGGTAGCCTCCGCTGATTCGGCCTCGTCATCTTCCACAATGCCATCAAGGAGGAAAAGGTGCTTGCACACCCGGTTGTGGCCTCTGGTGAACTTCTCGTCACAGTTGTAGCAGAGGCCCAGGCGACGTCGCTCCTCCTGCTCCGCCTGAGTAAGGCGTTTGATCTGGCGGCCCTCCACGGTGATGGTGGCTGGCGTGGCCGGCTTGGCGCCCGGCGGTGCCGGCAGGGCTAGACGCGGTGGCGGTGCCGGCAGGAGAGGCCGAGTGGCGGCCTTGGCCGGGGGCGCCGTGTACTGTTCCCGCAGCTCCATCTGCCTGGCGAGACTCATGGCGGCCGCAAGGGTTTGCGGGTTCTGGATCCGGACGTCCATGCTGAGCGGCGGAAGGAGGCCGCCGATGAACAGTTGGACCCGCTGGGCTTCATCGAGAGGGCCAGCGCGGGCCAAGAGCGCCTGGAACCGCTCTTGATATTCCGCAACGGTGCTCGTGCGCCAGCAATCGGCCAACTCGAAGAGGGGGGCAGACCGCAATGGCGGCCCGTAGCGCAGATTCAGCAGATCGGTGAATCGGCGCCAGGAGGGGGTCCCCTCGTCGGTCTGGACCTGCATGTATCACAGCTGTGCGCCCTCCTCCAGATTGTAGGAGGCCATCCATACCTTCTCCTCCATGATTCGCTGCTGATGGAAGTAGGATTCACAACGATTGATGAAGATCAGCGGATCGGACATCCCATCATAGCGTGGAAAGTCCATCTTCTGGAACTTCGGCGGCCGGTCGTTGTGGTGTTCGCCGAACCCAGGCTTGGTGCCCGAGGAGAACGAGCGCTCTGTGGACAGGTATTGGATCGCCTTGGAGTTGGCGTCGACGGAGGCCTGCAGGGTCTTGACGGATGCGGTGAGCATGTCCAGGGTGGCCTTGAGGTCACCATTGTCACCCATGGTGCTGACGCAGGAAGATGAGGCTGACGCGGACGGAGGGGTGGGCGGCGTGGCGGCTGGTGGTGGGGGTGGCGAGGTGGAGCGTGTAGGCGAGGATCGCCGGGATCGTGATACCAGGTTGTCAAGGGCGTCGTGTGCTAGGGTAGCTGGCCTTCGACTACGGAGTTCGTAGTCTCTTGTCGTCGTCGTCTAGGGCTGAGGTTTTGCCCCTCGGCCGGCTAGGCTTAGTTGGAGGGAGAAGGGAGAGAGATTAGATGGATAATAACTTGCTTAACTTCCACGGTTCAGGTTTACACGAGTAATATAGCCATGCGGCAGTAACAAAGCTAACAATAGACTCCTATAATTAAGGGATACGATCTGATCTTCTTGCCTTCTAGCCACTTTCCGGTTCGGAGTTTGCCTCGCTCGCGCCTGTCGCCTGGTCTCGCGCGCGCTCTGCGGCTCTCCTCACGTCGCGCGCACGACGTGTCCTTGAGTATGAGCGGCCCCACATGACACGTCTATTGGTGTCATCAAAAGAGTCATCCAACTGAAAGGTTGTGTCCGTATTCTCACCATTGAACAATTTGTCAAAATACTCTTGCCATCGATGTCGGTTCTCATCCTCCTTCACCAAGAGATGCTCCCTTTGATCCTTAATGCACTTAACTTGGTTGAAGTCCCTTGTCTTTCTCTCACGAACCCTAGCCATCCTATAAATGTCCTTCTCTCCTTCCTTCGTACTCAAATGTTGGTAAAGATCCTCGTACGCTTTACCCTTTGCCACACTTACAGCTTGCTTTGCAGTCTTCTTTGCTACCTTGTACTTCTCTATGTTGTCCACACTCCTGTCATGTTACAAGCGTCTATATCATTCTTTCTTCTCCTTAATAGCCCTTTGGACTTCCTCGTTCTACCACCAAGTATCTTTAGCCTCGCCTCCACTTCCTTTGGTTACTCCACACACCTTTGAGGCTACCTTCCGAATGTTGGTTACCATCTTCTCTCACATGTTGTTTATGTCATCTTCTTCCTTCCAAGAGCCCTCTTGATAACCCTTTCCTTGAATACCTCTGACGTCACCCCTTTCAGTTTTTACCACTTTGTTCTTTCAATCTTAAGCTTATTTATCCCTACGGGCACGCACCTGAAAACGAAAATCTGCCACCAAAAGCTTATTTTGAGAAACAACACACTCCTCTGGTATCACCTTGCAACCCAAGCATGCTCGTTTGTCCTTTCTTCTTGCGAGGACAAAGTCAATCTGGCTAGAGTGTTGTCCGCTACTGAAGGTCACTAGATGAGATTCTTTCTAAAGAAAGTGTTGGCTATCATCAGGTCAAAAGCTACCGCGAAGTCCAGAACTTCCTCCCCCTCCTGAATCTTACTACCATACCCAAAACCTCCATGTACTGCCTCGAAACCTACGTTTGTAGTACCTACATGCCCATTAAGATCTCCTATAAAAAGCTTCTCACTACTGGGTACAGCTCTAATCAGGTCATCTAAGTCTTCCCAGAACTGTCTCTTAGCACTCTCGTCGAGGCCTACTTGGGGGGCATACGCACTAATTACATTCAAGACCATATCACCAACGACAAGCTTGACTAAGATAATCCTATCTCCTTGCCTTTTCACTCCCACCACACCATTTTTGAGGCTCTTATCAATCAAAACTCCTATTCCATTTCTATTCGCGACTGTCCCTGTGTACCAAAGCTTGAAACCTGTATTGTCCACCTCCTTCGCCTTCTGACCTTTCCATTTAGTCTCTTGAACGCATAATATATTTACACGCCTCCTAGTCGCGGTATCAACTAATTCTCTTAACTTACCTGTAAGCGACCCTGCATTCCAACTATCTAAACGGATCCTAGTTGGTTCGACTAGCTTCCTTACCCTTCGCACCCGTCGACTCAGATGTGAAGGCCCTTGCTCATTTTTCACTACACCCAGGCACCGATGTAGCATGCCACTAAGGAAGCGACGATCCGATCCTTGCTCACTTGACACAACGCCCAGATCGCGACATGGCACGTCACCAAGGGGGTGCCGACCCGGCCCTTGCCCATTTAACACCATACCCGGGTTCTGATATGACGCGTCGCTAAGAGGGTTACGCCCCAACGGTTTTCTTTCGGGTTTCATCTCAATTAGAATGGCTAGATTTAACGTTGGCTCGCCACGCCTATCACAACCCTCCTCCTTTACTAGGGCTTGGGACCTGCTATGTTGAGACAACATAGGCGGAGTTTAGCAACCTGCCAAATGGTCTTATGGTTCAGGAAAGAAAACTTTATCTTGAGTCCACTACCGAGGCATTTATACTTGCTAATCAGAGCCCCTATGTTGACATGGTATACTGTACATATATGATGCATTGAGCTTATAGTGTGGGGGGGCAGCTTTCTGGTTGCCCCTCCCAGTTTCACTGATGTTTGAGGTATCAGGCTGTAGGTTTCAAGTTCAGTGTGGTTTCACGTAGTTGTCTAGATTTCATGTATATTGGATTTGTGTTCCAAATACTTGTCAAGAACAGAAATCACTGCAATATAAGAGATGGGGAGTTGTAAGTAGTTGGAAAGGGACAATGCTTAAGTAGCATGAAAACTGGATGAGTATAGGTGAAGCAATGTGTGTGTCAGATGTTGCTATACTGACTTATTGAAATAGAATTCAATGGGACCACCTTTTGGGAGTTTCTTTGTTTACCTAAATACCTAGTACAAATAATTCTTCATGGTTGATTGTAATCTCATTGCTTTTTAACTAGTAGATTAAGATGTATGATCCAACATGTTTCTGCATCTGAACATTGTTAGCATTTCAAGTGATTGAACAATCGTAGCTTTATTGCTTATTTGAGTATGTGGTGCTTCTCTGATGATAGCATAGTAATGTTGAACAAAGATCTTACAAGTTACCAGTTCAGCTCTGATTTTACTTTTCAATGTTGTTTTTTCACTTAGAATGTTTTCCACTGTCTGACTATCAGATGTCTTCCTAGCATGATCATGGTTGTTATTTTCTCCTATTTTGCATTCTATGCATAACATTCACTTATTGCAGGAGAATATCAGGAGATGTGTGTGCATTGTCTATGACCCATCCAGATCTAGTCAAGGCGTGCTAGCCCTCAAAGCCTTAAAGCTTACAGACTCGTTTATGGATCTTTACCGTAACAATGGTTTAACTGGGGAGAAGTACGACCTCTTTTCTGTAGCTCAGTTTTGTACTAGTTTGTACAAATGGTTTTTTATACAATGACTTTTTGCTGTTGCAGGTTAAGAGAGAAGAAATTGTCCTGGGTTGATATTTTTGAGGAGATACCAGTATGCACTCTTATATTTTCCTTTTTGAGTTATATGGATGAATTTAGTCTCCTCAGGTGCTTTGTCCTATTTGTGTCCACAGATTAAAGTTTCCAACTCAGCGCTTGTCAGTGCCTTCATGAAGGAGCTGGAACCTGAGTCACCAGTTACTCAGGTTTAGATTTTTGCTTGCAGAAACTCTTATGTGGCATTTGTTTTTTGTGTTCTTTTTTGAGTTACATTACTATTTTGTGTGTTTCAGTGTGACTTTGAGAGACTTAAATTGTCAACTGCTCCCTTTATGGAAAGGAACTTGGAATTTCTGATTGGGTGCATGGATGATCTTTCATCAGAGCAGAACAAGGTATTGCTTTGTTTTTAACAGAAGAACTTCTCTATGATTTATCTGAGGTTTACTACATTATCTATTTGTTTGATTGAGTTCCTTCCTTGAAATTCAGTTCCAATATTATTACCGCAACCTCTCAAGACAACAGTCACAGCAGCAGGCATGGCTTCAAAAGAGAAGGTTGGAAAATGCCTGCTTTGTAGTCCATATGTACATTATTACCTCATGCATTTCATATGATCATATCTTTTGTGAACCGTGGTTATTTAAAGGAAGTACTTTCTCAGTAGATTATTGTGTGCCTATTGTTCATTCACGTAGTCACATTGTTTTCTTTGTATTTTGTGCTGGTACAGGCAGGAGAACATGGCAAGAAAAGCAGCTGGTGAGGAGCCACTGCCAGAAGAAGATCCGTCAAATCCTATCTTTAAGCCTGTTCCTGAGCCATCACGATTGGACGGTTATCTTGTAACCAATCAGATCTCCAGTTACTGCAACCATATCAACGGGTACAGATTCTTAACATGTACACATCTTTACCGAGTTCCAAAGCTCTTACATGATTCTGTTTTAGGGAAGCATCCATTAGATGTAGGAATCTTCTAGTGATTATGATCTTCACAACCCAATTTTTCTTCCAGCTACGGTCATGTTTGCAGTGTTAAGTGATGATTGATGATCTTCTGATCAGTTGAAGGTCTAACAAAATGTGCTCTTAGCATCTCCCTTATGTTTTAGTACCCAAAAAAAAGTTGCTCTTAGCAGTTTGTACCTATTGTTATATGTTATACAAATTTTACAAATGCAACCTGCTTTTCTTGGCTAACTTACCCAACAACTTGGAAGCTGCATTAGAAATCAGGTTGGTCCACGCCAATACGCCATCAAAATAGAATGCTCATTTCTTCAGTAGTTGATGGAATGAGCGAAAGTGCGAAAGATACTGTGCTTGGTTTGGTAGTATGGAGAGATGGGCGTGGGTCGATCGAGAAGCCCATTGAATTGGGGTTTCATTTTTCAGTTTATTTTGTAGTTTGTACACATTGCTATATAAAAATAACAAAAATAGGATTGAGTTGATGTGTTGTCCACTTATATCCCTAGTAGCGTATAGTGCTGCATTTTTCCCCTCACTCACCTGTCAATAGTACATTAAACTAATAAATGAAATATTGCTTCTGTTTACCCCTAGCATTTATTTCTTGTGCTTCATAGTGCACTCATATTGATTGTAATTTGTGTCACAATGGCAGGGTTGCTGGCCAGAATTTCAACAGGCTATACCTGATGAAGGCCTTGCATGAGGATTAGAAAGCTGTTAGATTTAGCTCGTAATACTGCTTAAAATTGTAATTTTGAGATGTACCTTGCATGGGCGTGCCTGTCTTCTACTTAATGTTTCCATGGACACCAGATGGTTAGCATCCATTGTGACGCGCTTCCAAATTATACCAGCATTCTTGGTAGTAATTAAAAAATGATCAGTTTGATTACTATTATTTAATGTAGTTGCATCTGTATGTGTTGTCATATAAACACATGTTCTCCATTAGTAATTTTGGGACGCACAGTTTGAAGTCCATAGTGTAGCTTGTTTTCGTTCTTACCATTAAGCTGGTTACAGGCGAGGTATGTTTCTGCTACCACTTATTAGATGTTTGTACACTTTGATCGCAAGTGAATGTGCTGTGATCATTGCACTGTTCTACTCGCTGTTTTGTGATGGTTCACAACTTATTTTGTGTTATTCATCTAAGGGTAGTATTGCTGTATTTTTCTGTTACCTAGGATCGATGCTACAGAATGATGAAGATAGAGATATCGATGCAGACGTTTGCCATAGGATTAGAGCAGGGTGGATGAAGTGACGCTAAGCATTTGGCATTCTGTGTGATAAGAGGGTACTACAAAAGCTCAAAGGTTAAGTTTTATAGAGCGGTGATTAGACCCGCTACGTTGTATGGAGTAGAATGTTGGCATATAAAAAGACGGTATGTTCAATAACTGAGTGTCGCGGAAATGCGTATGTTGCGCTGGATTTATGGTCACATAAGGATGGATCGAGTTCGGAACGATGATATACGTGACCGTCTAGGGGTAGCATTAATTGAAGAAAAGCTTGTCCAACATCGGTTGAGGTGGTTTGGCCATGTCCAAAGAAGACTTTCAAAGGCACCAGTGCATTGTGGAGTCATAAGTCGAGATATTAATGTGAGGAGAGGTAGAGGAAGACCTGACATGGAGGTAATAAAAAGAGATTTGAAAGGTAGGAATATACATAGAGATCTTTTGTTTGAATAGGAGTGCTTAGAAAACAGCTATCGATGTGCCTGAACCGTGACTAGGGGCTCATGTTGGATTTTAACTCTAGCCTACTCAACTTGCTTGAGACTAAAAGGGGAAAAATAATGAACTTACGATGGGTAAATTACATTGAGTAGGCTGATCTCTTTAATTCAACTTGTAGGGGCTTGTTTGGATGGGCGTATCTAGGATGCTCTACCCAAGAACTATAAAATCCAATATTATGCACATTAAACTTTGATAAACCAGACAAGACCCCTTTGGGCTGGTTTTGTTAGGTGGTTTTGCTTATGGTGCGCTCCACGCTGGCTAGCTTCGACGACGTGGCATCTAGGCCCACCTGTTAGCCCGATTAGGTCACATTACACTGGGTGGATTTAGTCAAGGATGAGATGAAAATATCACTGCGTCCCAACGTCCCCAAAGACGACCCCCAACGGTCATTGCTATGCACTCATCGCGGCTACACCACCGCTACCCCACGCACACTATAGCTGGCTGTGCGCACAAACTGCTCCTGTCCTTGCCTCTTGTGCTCGCTGTCTTCAGGATGCCCTACCTCCTAACACTCAGCACGCCACTACCGGCCCCAACGCACACCATCATCGGCCGCATGAACGCGTTGCTCATATCCTTGCCGCTTGCGCTTGTCGCTGTCTCGCGAAAGCCACCTTCCCACGTCATGGCTTCCTAGTGCCTCGTGTTGTGCCTGCTGGCTGCTGCTCCTACCAAGTCACCGCCATGGAGGAGTAGGTCATGTGGAAGCCAGAGGGACGTTGGCCCCAGCATGACCAAGGCGCGATGACGGTGAGCAGCTTGCCCACACACGCCTCACCCGAGACGTCTGTAGAGGACCGTGACACCTAAGAGGGGGGTGAATTAGGCAACTTAAAATTCTAACTCTAAACTATGGCATCTTTTTCTAACCTTAGCAAAACATATGCAAAAGATAAACTATTTAAATGTGCAACTACGGTTTTGATAGTGTGTTGCTATCTCTACCGTAAAAGGAGTAATACAATCAATGTAAGTGCGGAAGCTAAAGAGTAAGGTAGAGATATGCAAACTCTCGTCGACGACTCCGATATTTTTACCAAGGTATCGAGAAGCGCGCAAGCATCTCCCTAGTCCTCGTTGGAGCCCCTCGCAAGGAATCCCTCGCAAGGGCCAAGCTCCCGGTCGGGTAACTCCGTGGATAGCCTCGGGCCTTTCCCACACGCAAGTGGGTCTCCGACGTGCCTTCCGGCAAGCCTCTCCCAGATGCTCCCTGCCATCTTCACTATCAAGCTTCCGGCCGAAACGCCACGGGCCTTGTTCCCTCCGGTACACGGTGGCTGCCACACCACAACCGCGGTTGGTGTGATCTCGCAAGACTACAAGCTCCTCCGATGTACAACGATAGTGCGCACAAGCACTGAGTGGTAAGAGGTATGCGAACCTCACTAAACACTAGGCCTAAATCTAGAGCAAGTGCATAAGTGGTGGTTTAATCAACCTAAGCACTTCGCAAAGCACCTACGCTAATCATCTAATGAATCACTAAGCACTATGCAAGTGGAGATCACTAAAATGGTGTATCAACACCCTTGATATGTTTCCTCAGCTCCACACACTTCAAATGGTCGGTTGGGGGGTCTATTTATAAGCCTCACTGAGAAAGTAGCCGTTGGGGACGAAATCCCACTTTTCTGTTACTGACCGGACGCGTCCGGTCGTCCCGACAGTTAGAGCCACGATCAACTAATCGGACGCTGCCAGCGTCCGGTCACATGCCACCAGACGCGTCCGGTCGTAATTTCGCCGCTCTGAACCTTTCTGTACTTGATCGGACGCAGCAGTCCTGCGTCCGATTGATTTTTCGCCATCGTCCGGTCGTGCCTGCTGTTGCCGAGCCTCTTGATCGGAGCGTCCGGTCGCTTTCCGCCAGCGTCCGGTCCAGCGTCCTGTCACCTCTGTGAGCTCGTTTCTTCGTGATCTTGCGTCCGGCTTGGTTCCTATCTTCGTGCTTGGACTTTGCTTAAAATCTTGGGTCTTCTTTTGTGCTTCTAAGGTCTTGCTTTTGGTGTTGATCATCGAATCATCACGTCGCCTTTGTCTAAGCCACGTCTTGCACCCTATTGAACTACAAAACAATCAGTTGCAAATTCATTAGTCCAATTTGGTTGTGTTGGTCATCGAACACCAAAATCCAAAGTAAATAGGCCTAGGGTCCATTTTCCTTACAACATCATCGAGTAGCAGCACCTAGACTTAGACATAGACGTACACCACCACTAGCAGCAACATCGCATTGTCCTTGGGCATCACAATCCGAGCTGTAGCGGTGCATACGTCGACGACGAGGAAGACGTAGGCCATAGCCCAGTGTCCTCCTGATGGTGGCGTCAGGAGGCAACGCTATGCTCGTTGTCCATGCGTGAGGAGGACGAGCACCCGAGGTATAGCATGACTGCGGAAAGCATCTAGCCCCTAGTGGGTTTCGGTGATTAATGACAACATAAGATTATTGCGACTAATGTGTGTTTTTGAAGAGACAAATTTAAGTTAGGTCACAATAATGACGATTGTTTGGACAATCAATGGTTTTCATGCCCCTATCGATGGAAATCATTTTGGTTTCAAAGGATGGACGATAAGGTTAAGGACGAACTAGTTCTAAGTGTCGTTTGGAGTTGAGAGACACTTAGAGTAGTTTAGGATTTTATTTTTCCTATGGCCGTATTATTAAGGGGGTATGAACTAGTAGCTTGACCTAGGTGAGCCTAATGTGTTAGGTGTAGTGCACACTTGTCAAACTTAGCACTAGGTTGCTCAGGGACAGCCTAAAGATCAATTGGAGTCAACTTCATTCACAAAAAAATTTGAATTGGAACTGAATGGAAGTGTGAATAGAGGATCGAACTCTGCTGTGGTAGTTACCGGATGCTGAGGCACTGAGTCCGGTCAGTGCTAGAGCCTATGCGGCAGTGCTTCAACTCGACTAGACGCAATCGTAGTGGAGAGACCGGACGTGACGGTCCCACTGTAGCATATAGGGTCTGCCCTTCTGACAGGACCGGACATTGGTCAGCGAGTCTGGTCAGGGAACAGAGAGGTCCAGAGAGGACTTTTATTGACCGGACGTGTTCGGTCAGGAAGGACTAGACGCCCCCTAGAGTCCGGTCACAATAATGGCACACTTTGATAGTTGACGTCAAGTAGCCGTTGGGAAAGGACCGGACGCGTCCGGTCACTATGACAGGCGAGTCCGGTCACTACGAAATTTGCTGAGTTGGACCCCAACGGGTATGTTAGGGTGTGGGGTGTATAAATACATCTCCTACTCATCCAATTCATTGCTCTTGCTCATTTGTTCAGCTAAGAAACACTTTTGGAGTTCAAGGGAGTGCAAGAGCCTAGTGGGGTGATTGAGATTTGATAATCCAAGATTAAGGACCTTATTAGTGCATAGGGAGTAGCAAGTGTGCATCCACCTTTTTCATTAGGCTTGTCATGGTCAAGTGAGAGTTTGTGTTTGTTACTCGTGGTGATCGCCATCACCTAGACGGCTTGGTGGTGATTGGAAGCTTGGTGATCATCCGGTGGTGATTGTGGATGACCCAAGTCATCTTGTGAGCGGTTATGGGTGATTCACCGCGACGGAGTGTCAAAGAATCAGCCCGTACAGAGCATTTGATCCTTGCGTGGATCAATGGGGAGCTACACCCTTACACGAATGCTCCAACGAGGACTAGTGGGGAGTGGCGACTCTCCAATACCTTGGCAAAATATCATCGCGTTCCACTTCCTCTTTTTACTTTGAGCATTTACTTTCAAGCAATTCAATTCATGTCTTTACATTCTTAAAATTGCCATGCTAGAGTAGGATTGGAACCTAGGATACAAAACTTTTTTACGGTAGAATAATAGAGAACATATTTAGGCACTAGGGATGAAATGGGCTAGGTGTAGGACTTAATTATTGGAAGAATTTTTAGTTGAGCCCAATTCACCCCCCCTCTTGAGCA